GATGATAGATAGATAGATAGATGATAGATAGATAGATAGATAGATGATAGATAGATATGATAGATAGAGGATAGAGGATAGATATGATGATAGATAGATATGATAGACTGACAGATGATAGAGATAGATAGATAGATAGATAGATAGATAGAGATAGATGATAGATAGATAGATGATAGAGAGATAATAGATATGATAGATAAGATGATAGTATAGAGATAGAGATAGAGAGATGATAGATAGATAGATAGATAGATAGATATGATGATGAGGATGATAGATAGATGATAGATAGATAGATAGATAGATAGATAGATAGATAGATATGATGATGAGGATGATAGATAGATAGATAGATAGATAGATAGATAGATAGATAGATAGATATTGCAGTATGTATATGTATGTGAATGATACACACACATACACTCAGGCTTCCACTCTTCCAAGGTTGGTAAAATGAGGACCCCGATTGTGGGCGTTATGCTGACTGCTTAGAGAGTGCTGTAAAGCACTGTGAAGCTGTATATCAGTTGTTACTGATATTGCTATTGTACAGCATTCTGGATTTAAAGGGCAATGTGTGATTACAAGAGGGCAGAGTCATATCTTAATTCCATCTTTTTGTGAGATTCTCTGCCAGCTACATACTCACAGAAAGATATAACTGCTTTAAGATGCTCTTGACATGCTACACGCATAACCATTCAATCACATTCTGCCCTTCGAATCCCAATTTCTGCCCGTTTTACCTACAGGAATTAAGGGTGTTGATCAAGGCGAGAATTTCTTGGGAAGAACACCTGAAGACGCAAATATCAGATCATCTTACCAGGGGTGGGTTCCACTTACTTTTACTACCGGTTCGCAGCGGGAGCGCACATGCGCTTCTGCGCATGCACACATCACCCATGATGACGTCGTGGCGGGTGGGCGGAGCCTCCCGCCGGTTTTACTACCGGTTCTATAGAACCGGACCAAACCGGGAGCATCCCACCACTGAATCTTTACGGTTCCCTTCAGTTGGCATCTTGCCTCGTGCACGGTGTAGAAATGTCTGACATTGCACAATTCACTCCAAATGGAAGTTTAGTGAAATCTGGATACGCAATCATCCGAGTGCCTCCCAGCTTCCCTGATCTTTGGTGCTGGACAAGCCAATGTTTACAATTGTCACTGGCTTCAGAGTCAGGTTCTTTCCTCATAGAGGCAGGATGTCATGGGTTTCCATTGCCAAAAGGGACAGCTGAACCACTTTATAATAACAAATGATGTTGAAGGCTGAAGCTTATTCTTGGCACTGGATATTAGAAACTTGAAAGCAATATTGGCCCCACATTTACATCTGTGTTCTAGAAATTTCTAATCCGAGAGTTGACTCTCAAAGTAAGAAAAGGGGGGGGGAGAAAGGATGGGGACAGTTAAATCAAATTATTCTATAAAGTGGAAACATTTAAACATGATAACGGCCTGTATGATACCTGGGTGATTGTGCACGCAATTACTTTTTGCCTCTGTCACACGGGTGTAAAACCCATCAGATCAATGTCGAAGTATATAGGGCAGCAATTTGATTTGGACACTGAAGCCTCTCCAAAACTCTATAAAATCGGGATAACATCTATTACCTAACAACTGGGAAATAAGCCTCTTCAAAGGAACTCCCACTCATGCGATTTTGAAAGGACAGCACAGAGATTTTGTTTTTGCAATAGTGTAAAGAATTCATACGTGAAGGGATTCACTTAGATCTGGGATCAGAAACCTGCGGCTCTGGAGCCGCATGTGGCTCTTTCCTCCCTCTGCTGCGGCTCCCTGTTGCTGGTCGGCTCCACAATTAATAGGGCTTTCGGTTAGGACAGGTTGAGGAAAAAGGATGCCGCGTTAGGAGGAAACTATGATGGGGGAACCGGACTTCCGGTCGGCTCCAGAATTGAACGGAGGCTTCTGGTTAGGACCTTTGTGGCTCTTTTGAGTGTTTAAGGTTGCCGACCACTGACTTAGATGATTCCAGCAGGAATCAGAAGATATGCGCTAGATAGCAGGGAGGTGGGTAAAAATTCTGAGGCAACTTTAGAAACCCTTTCCAGCTTCATTCAACAATTTGTTTAAGCAGTTGTCTAATACTTTTATTTGTAACGCTTTTAGGCATGAGCGGTATACAGAATTTCTAGATTTGTAAATATCCACGTGACCACTAGGTGGCAGCAAAGAAACACAAGAAGCCATAACACTTTCCTAACAATAATACTAAAATAGCCAATGACATATTAATAAAACCAGTAATAAGAAAGTAAACAATGTCTTTGATCCCATCTGGGGCCATGGAGCTTGTTATGCCAATTTAGAAACGTTTCTACCCCATATTTTTAAGGCATGCCAAAAAGCTAAAACCTCCATGACGTGTTTCAATCCCTAGTTTATTCATCTTTATTCTGCTTTGTATTTGTTTATACTGTATATTTGTCTTTAAACGAGGACCCAGATTGTTGGGGGCAATATGCTATTTAGTATACTGTCTTTGGTGTAAGCCACCCAGAGTCCTCAGAGAGTGGGTGGCATAGAAATATGAATAATAAAATAAATAAATAAAAAAAATAAAGTGTTCATTTTTTTTTAAAAAAGAGGCAGACTGGTTGCCACAGGTGTGGTGAGGCAGATCTGAAAAGTTAATATGGCGCCCATAGCTGTTTGATGGAATCTCTGCCTCAGTGGTGAAATCCAAATTTTTTTACTACCAGTTCTGTGGGCGTGGCTTGGTGGGGGTGGCAGGGGAAGGATACTGCAAAATCTCCATTCCCATCCCACTCCAGGCGAAGGATACTGCAAAATCTCCATTTCCTCCCCACTCCTGAGGCCAGCCAGAGGTGGTATTTGCCAGTTCTCTGAACTACGCAAAATTTCCGCTACCGGTTCTCCGAACTGCTCAAAATTTCCGCTATCGATTCTCCAGAACCTGTCAGAACCTGCTGGATTTCACTCCTGCGCCGCCTCCTTTTCAGGCAACACACAGACACACAGACACACTTGCAGTGGTGGGATTCAAATAATTTAACAACCGGTTCTCTGCCCTAATGACCGGCTGGGTGGGCGTGGCCATGGTGGGCGTGGCCAGGGGATGTAACAGGCAGCACTCGGCCTCCAGCACCCCCCTGGGAGCAAAAATGGGCCATGGGGAGGTGCACCGTCCCTCTATGCCCCATTTTGGGCCTAGTAGGTCTCCCTGCAGCCTCCTGGGAGCAAAAATGGGCTGCGGGGGACTCCTGGAAGGGGCGGGGTGGGGAGGGACAGGGAGGGGAGGGGCCAGACGGCAATTTAACAACAGGTTTGACTGAACCAGCTGAATGTCACCACTGCTCTAACGGAATGGGGCTTTGAATATATGGGTGTGGGAACCAGTGGTGAAATCTAAAATTTGTTACTACTGGTTCTGTGGGCGTGGCTTGGTGGTGGGGGGTAATGTGACTAGGTGGGCGTGGCCATTTTTTTTTTTTACTTTTAAAACCATTTTTTTTACAACCTCTTCGGCGAAGAGGTTGTAAAACATTGCTTTCAAAAGGCTCTGACGATCCCAGCTGAGTTGCCTGATCGGCAGAGACTTTTTTTCTTTTAAATGCCTCTGACGACCAGGCCACTCAGCTTGGATCGTCAGAGGCATTTAAAAGAAAAAAAGGGGTTTTTTTTCTTTTAAAAGCCTTTGATGATCCCAGCTGAGCCGTGCGATCATCAGAGGCTTTTTTTTTAACTTTTAAAAGCATTTTTTCAGCCGAAGAGGTTGTAGAAAAAATGCTTTTAAAAGTAAAAAAAAAAGCCTCTAATGATTGTGCGGCTCAGCTGGGCATTGGGGGGGGCAGGGATTTTTGCTACCGGTTCTCCAAACCACCCACCTCCATCGCTACCGGATCGAGCGATCTGGTCCAAACCGGGAGCATTTCACCCTGGTGGGAACTGTAATATAAGATCCACCTCTGCTGTCTTTTAACTGGAATTATAATTTAGAACCCCAAACAGGGACTGTAACAGGGACACTAAAGAATCTGAGCTTTCATGCTTCCTATTGATACAGGGAATCGTTTAAATGCTGTAAAAATGGGGGGAAATGGGTACACCACTTGACCCTCCAACCTAACATACCTCTCTCGATTATCATTAAATTTAAATTAAGACTATAGTTTTGGATTCCGAAAGATCTCCTGTACAGAGAATTACTGCAGGGGGAGCGCCCAGAGGGAGACCACAGCTGCGATATAAGGATATCTGCAAGAGGGACCTAAAGGCCCTGGGAATGGACATTAGCAACTGGGAAACCTTGACCTCCGATTGTTCAGCTTGGAGGCTAAAGACGCAGCATGGCCTTCTCCAATTCGAAGAGACACTTGTTCGGCAGGCTGAGGCAAAGAGGCAGTCCAGGAACCAGCGAAATCTGGAGGCTGGACAGAGGACAGAATGTATCTGCCCTCAGTATGGAAGGGATTGCCACTCTCGAATTGGTCTTTTTAGTCACACTAGATGCTGTTTTAGGACCTCTTTCCAGAGCACGACACCATAGTCTCTTGAGACTGAAGGATGCCAATGAATGAATGAGTTTTGTTAATCTTCGGCCAGATTGCACGGATTTCTAAAACCACTATGAAGTGTTTCCTTCACATTTTTTGTTCCAGATGAAGGAAAAGCAGGTTAGCTTCTTAATTTTAAAATCATTAACCTGGAAGGAACCTACGGAGCCCTGCAGGACCCCCACCCACACAGAACAATGTGCTATGATTTTCCTTTTTCTCCAGCTCTGCTTTCTCAGCTGCTGTGCTCTTCCTTCTCCTCATTCAGAAATCAGCAATTCCTCAAGGTACATAAACAAGTGCAAACCTAAAATGCATTGTTTTGGACAATGCTTTCCAGAGGTGATACTTAGAGACATTAATACGTTAGTCAACCCTCATCAGAAGGAGGAGCAGGAGGAGGAAGAGGAGGAAGAGGAAGAGGAGGAGGAAAGTAGGCCTTACCTTGTCAGCAAGGAAGGGCAGGTGGTTACCGTGGCAATCCCAGCCAGTTTCCTGCAAGATATCCGGGGTCTGTCGCCTGGTTTGCCTGGAAATGCTGAGGTGAACCTGCTTCTTGCTAGCCTGCATATTGACACACAGGGAGAAGTAGTTACTTGGCTGCATAACCAAATTTTCAATTTTCAGACACATTCACAAAATGGCTGCGCTCATACCAGATTGATTTTAAACAGATTTAAGAAAATGCCTTCTGGATACATTATAAAGTTTTATTTGAAGGGCTGCCACAGAGAGGAAGGAGGGGGGGGGGACGGTCAAGCTATTTTCCAAAGCACCCTAAGATCTGATTCCATAATGGATGGGAATTGATGAAGGAGAGATTCAACCTAGAAATAAGGAGAAATTTTCTGACAGTGAGAGCACTCAACCAATGGAACAGAAGTTGCCTTCGGAAGTTGTGGGAGCTTCACCACTGGAAGCGTTCAAGAAAAGACTGGACTGCCATCTGTCAGAAATGGTGTAGGGTCTCCTGCTTGGGAGTGGGGTTGGACTAGATCAGGGATCTGCAACCTTAAACACTCAAAAGAGCCATTTGGACCCGTTTCCCACAGAAAAGAAAACACCGGGAGCCACAAAACCCTCCCCGTGCCTGACTCTTTCTTGAGCGGCCACAAAACTAGCATATGTAGTTGAATTAAACGTTCTCTTTTCTTCTGAAACTTTTCTTTTCTTGGATTTATCCATGGTTGGCCTACCGGGAATTGAAAAGCTCAATAAATTGCGGGCCGGTGGGTGTTGCACATTGTCGGTTGTGACACATATTTTGAGTGACAGAGAGCCGCAGCAGAAGTGTTAGTTAGTTAGTTTATTATTATATTTATATACCGCCCCCCTCTCCCGAGGGATTCGGGGCGGTGAATAGCCAGCAAATAAAATACACAGATACAAAATTTAAAACAATATTAAAATCCAATTAAATCAATTTGGCCCATAGTTAAAAACCCTATATTAAAACCCCTAATTTTTTAAAACAATTCTTTTTAAAAAGCGTAGGTCAGGCCAGCCTGACTTGATGAAACAAAAACGTCTTTAGGGCAAAAAGGGTGAAAGAGCCACATGCAGCTCGAGAGCCGCAGGTTGCTGACCCCTGAACTAGATGACCTACAAAGTCCCTTCCAACTCTGTTCATCTGTTAAAGTTGTGGCAACAATAAAAACAGGGCAGATTCTCCCCCTTTTCTCTGCAGACACGGTGGTTTGCATTCTTTGTCTCAAAGAAACGTTAACCCCATTTCTCAGATGTGTTCTGACTGAGGAAGCTCTTTCAACCTACTTGTATTAATTGGGCTGCGCTTTCTGGACTTCCGTGCTGTAAGTCGTGCCCGTTAATGGCTAAAACCTTATCGTCCTCTCGAAGTTCCCCGTCACGGGCAGCTAGGCCTCCTTCCAGCATTTTGAACACAAAGACTCCCTCCTCGTTGGCTTTACTGATCAACTTGATGCCCAGCTGTTGCTCTGGGTTACTTTTGTTCAGAACAATGTGCAAATTCTCATCCCTGTGGCAGGGAACATCAGGGTAAAGTCCAGAATTCCCACACTGGTACCTTTGCTCCCTGAGCACAGTGAGACGGAGGACTTGACAAGGTTGACTCAGGACGAACAAGGCATAGCTGTGGGGTACGTTTCTGATATCTATGCCGTTGACCTGGAAGACAGAACTGTGGGTCAGTCATATCTAACTAGACACAAGAACAGTTTTTTCCTGAACGCCATCACTCTGATAAACAAAGAATTCCCTCAACACTGTCAAACTATTCACATTAGGCTACATTACTATTACTAGTAGTCTTCTCATCGTTCCTATCACCCATCTCCTCCCACTGCATGACTGTAACTTTGTTGCTTGTATCCTTACGATTTATATTGATATTGTTTCCTAGTATGATTTAATTGCTTATTTGTACCCTATGACTATCACTAAGTGTTTTACGTTATGATTCTTGATGAATGTATCTTGTCTTTGTATGTACACTGAGAGTGTATGCACCAAAGACAAATTCCTTGTGTGTCCACTCACATTTGGCCAATAAAGAATTCTATTCTATTCTGTTCTGTTCTGTTCTATGACTGTCATTAAGTGTTTTACCTTATGATTCTTGACGAATGTATCTTGTCTTTGTATGTACACTGAGAGCGTATGCACCAAAGACACATTCCTTGTGTGTCCACTCACACTTGGCCAATAAAGAATTCTATTCTGTTCTGTTCTGTTCTGTTCTGTTCTGTTCTGTTCTATTCTATTCTATTCTATTCTATTCTATTCTATTCTATTCTATTCTATTCTAACAGTGTCTGGGCACAGTTTTAAGTAAAGTACAACAATAATCATAATAGTAATCATAATAAACATATCAATATTAATCACAAAGTAATAATACAATTAGTTTATCCTTGCAACATTTTCAATGAATTTTTTTTTTATTATTATCCTTCTAATCTTTTTAGTTTCTAACCTCTGTTTCTGTTAGATAGCCATTGGTAAAACAAATCCCATGTTAAAGAGTATTTGTTTCTTCCTTTTCTCTTTTCTTTTAAATGTTAATCTATCGTGGATGATTTTTTGTGGCAGTGATAGCTTCCACCACAATGCACCCTCCTCTCTTAAACACCCCTCCCTCACAACTTTCTTGTGAGAAAAAGGCTGGTTTTTTTATTTTATTTGTTTACTCGTCAAACGAAAATGACAAATTCAAATATTAGTATTTTTAAATATTAGGTAAAGTATTAAAATGTGACAGAGACAATAGGCATGTTAGTGCAGTTATGCCCGCCTCCTTAAGGACCTCTTAAAGTCCACAGAGGTTAAGTTAGAATTAAAACTGGGGACGTTAATGGCTGGGACAAGTGAATTGGGTAAGATATTCCAGGCTTCGACAGCTCTGTAACAAAAATCATTTTTTTTTTACAATTTTTATTTTCCTTAGACAAGTCCAGCAGTTCCTCACTTATCATACTCTGAATTTACTGCCGGTCTGCAGGAACGCTGTTTTCTGTCCCATTTCTTCTCTAGAATCGATATCTATCCATATTACCTTGCAGAAAGTCTTAGGTTTAAATGTTCGGGAAGTCACATAGCGTTGAAATGGCTCCCAACCAAACATTTCATACCCGTGATTTGCTTAAGCTGTTTTTATATGTTTTGCTAGGATATTTGCCCCTACCTCTGCTAGTGCTTCCAAGGCTATTAAGAAAAAATAAATAAAAGATCTAGCGATACTGTTTCATGGTAGAGCAATTAACTCTCTAAGAAGGTTCTGTCAAACATAACTTTTCCCCAGCAAGTAAAACTATTCTACTCTGCGATTAAAAAAAAAAAGATGTAAAGAAGCTTCAGCAATAATGTTGGAGACAGAGATAGATGGAGTATTTCTAAAGCTCCTAATCCTAAAGAAATCCGTTCATGTTTCAGTGCAGGGGTGGGTTCTACTTACCTTTACTACCGGTTTGTAGTGGGACCGCGCGCGCGCGCCAGCTTTACTCACACACACACGTGCTCTTCTGCACATGCGCAGAAGCATTTTGATGATATTGGGGTCGGTGGGCGGAGCCTCCCGCCGGTTTTAGTACCGGTTCTATAGAATCGGTGCGAACCGGGGCAACCCACCACTGTTTCAGTGCTAGAAAATGGGTTTATTCTTCCGTACAGGTAGTCCTCGACTTATGACTACAATTGAGCCCAAAATGTCCGTTGTTAAGTGAGACATTTGTTAAGTGACTTTTCCTCCTTTTGCGACCTTTCTTGCCACAGTTGTTAACTGAATCACTGCAGTTGATAAGTTAGTAACCTGGCTGTTAAGTGTCAGCACTTCAACCTGCATTTACTCTAGTGCTGACATAAGAAGGAGAAGAGGGGGCAGCTGGCAAGAGGACGCTTGACTTCTCACCTACTTATTTTCCTTGAAGATAATATCCCCTCGGAAATGAGATGGGAGGGGGGACATTCCTAGGAGCTGAAGTAATAGATATGGGGAGAGTGATTTGGAAGAGGGCCAATGAGACGCGGAGAATTGGGGAACGGAAAGGGAAGGTTTGGGGTCAGGAAGTCAGAGTTGGCTATGCCACAATCGGGGACAGGTTGTCGTGCTTAATAAAATGAAAGATTTCTTCAAAGACTATGTCTTTGGAAATGCATTTTATTTTATCTGAGACGACATCGAAACCTGACATTAAGTGAATCTGGCTTCCCCATTGACTTTGCTTGTCAGAAGAATGCAAAACGGGATCATGTGACCTTGAGACACAGTAAGTGCCAGCAGGGTTAAATAAGGGCTTACTTTAGTACATTTTAGGCCTGATTCTATGCTGTAAGCCAGGGGTGGGCAACTGTGGCCCTTTTACAACCTGTGGACTTCAACTCCCAGAATTCCTGAACCAGCTTGGCTGTCTCAGGAATTCTGGGAGTTGAAGTCCACAGGTTGTAAAAGGGCCACAGTTGCCCACCCCCGCTGTAAGCACATCATGTGGGAGTGTGAAATATTCAGACAGCATGTAGAAGGCAACAAAAGGAGACATGAAATTCAAATAAGCTGTCATTCAGAACTTTGAACATTGTATTGGGGATACCCAGGGGTGGGCTGCTGGAGGTTCGTAGGAGTTCGGGAGAAAAATCTAGCTAAGATTCTGTGCAGTTCGGAGAACCCCCAAATCCCATTCCTGGCTGGCCCTGCCCACCTCGCCCCTTCCCTCCCAGGAGTCTCCACGCGGCCTGTTTTGTATGCAGATAAGTGCAGGGTGCGTGTGGAGGCTCGGGGAGGACGAAAAACAGGCCTACCGGAAGTTCGGGAAGGGCCTTCAGAGCCTGGGGAGGCCGTTTTCGCCCTCCCGGAGGCTCGAAGAAAGCCTCCAGAGCCCGGGGAGGGCAAAAACGCCCCCCCCGCCATGGTGCAGGAGGCCGACTAGGCCACGCCCACCATGGCCACACCCACCCAGCAACCGGGCAGAAAACCCCTTGCTAAAATTTTTGAAGCCCACCCCTGTTCAAACATTCCTCCATCCCTGAGGAGCCTTGGTAGTACAGTGGTTTAATGCACCCTGTTATTAAAACAGCTGCCTGCAATTTCTGCAGGTTCGAATCTTACCAGGCTCAAGGTCGACTCAGCCTTCCATCCTTTCTAAGGTAGGTAAATTGAGGACCCAGTTTGTGGGGGTAATAAGCTGACTTTGTATAAATATACAAAAGTATGAAGGCTATTGCTTAACGCATTGTAAGCCGCCCTGAGTCTCCGGAGAAGGGCGGCATATAAATCAAATTTTAAAAAAAAACAAACAAAACCCCCCTTTTATTCCCCTGCTCAATTCTCTGAACGTTTACCTTCAGGATCATATCTCCCGGCAGTAGCCTTCCATCTTTGAAAATGATGCCGTCTCGATAAATGTGTTGAATGATGACGTGAATCAAAGGCGTTTCGCTGCCCCCCACTACTCTAATGGCAAGAGCTTCGTGGGGGTTCCTGCGGTTGACCTTAATGCTGGCGATTTCACCATCTGGAATGAGATGATATAACCTTGGAGCGGCTGAAACAAATGCAGAAAAGGGTTGGATGTGAAATGAATGGGTTTTGTTCTTTTTGAACAAACGCAAGAACACAAAACATGACGCACTTCCACAGTTCTTAAGAGTTACAATTTAAGAGGTCTGGTCCTTATTAAAAAGGAATCAGAGATGCCCAGTGACTTTTTGCTAAAAGCTGAAAGTGATCGTTGTACGTTTAACATCAACTCTTTCATCTGTTATGTACAGGTAGTCCTCGACTTACCACCACAATGGAACCTAAACTTTCTGTTGCTAAGGGAGACAGTTGTTAAGTGAGTTTGCTCCATTTAACGACCTTTCTTGCCACCATTGTTAAGTGAATCACTGCTTTTATTAAGCTTAAGTTATTAATTTAATGAATTTGACCATTGACTTTGCTTTTCAGAAGGTTGCAAAAGGTGATCACATGACCCCAGGACACTGCAACCGTCATAAATATGAGTCAGTTTACCGAGCTTCTGAATTTTGACTATGTGACCATGAGGATGCGGCAACAGTCATAGGTATGAAAAACGGTCATAAGCCACTTTTTTCAGTGCTATCGCAACTTCAAACAGTCACTAAATGAAGGCCATATGTTGAGAACCACCTGTACTATGACATAAAGAACCTGTTGTGGTTCTCCAGCAGCCTGCAGAACTGGCAGCGGAGTCGGACAGCGATGAGGCTGAGGAAGAACATGGGCCAGTCCTGGAGTCTGGAGAAGGCTCGGACAAGGGCTCTGCATCGGAGGCAGAGATGGGGCCAAGGCCATCTGGGAGTGAGGTATGGATTCCAGAGCCTCCAGAGGCTGACAGTAGAGAGGCAGAGGAACAGGAGGAGCCTGTTTCTAGTGCATGTATGAGAAGAGCTGCCAGGAGGCAAGAGCAGCTAAAGCAGAGAGGACGACTCGGGAGTAAAGCCAAGAGATGATTGGCCCCTCCCATAAGGCTTAAAAGACCAGCAACGGCTCTTGGGCTCTTTGTCGGAAAACAACGTTGATAGACTTGTTCTTGTCTTGCTGCACTTATTTCTTGTCGGCATCTTCTGCTTCTGAACTTTTGCCAAGAGAAGCCTTTGGCAGTTTGCCTAATTATACCAAGGTTGGTGATTAGACTGAAGAATTTGTGTTATGAAGAGTTTGTTTTAATTCAGTTTGGACTACGCTGAGAATGAGTTAATTCTCAGCTGTTCTAATAAAGTCTATTTGTTTTGGAACTGTTTGCATCGATTACTACCTACTTGGGCCTGGGTCACAACAGAACCTTCATGTTCAAACAATGGGGCACAGCACAACTATATTCCAACAGCGGTTGTTTTAATATTTATTTTTGTATTGATTTAATGTAGAAAAAAGAGAAAAAAGGAGAGAAAAAATAGAAATATACGAAAACCAATAGAAAAATGAAACACCGTACCGTAAACTCCATGCATTACATAAAATCAATAATTCTCCCTAGTTTTTTGCTACTCGGGGTAGGAAAAGCCTTCGCAATGCATCTGGATGAAAATGCAGATCCTGCTAGGGGGGTTCAAGATGCTGCATGTATGATTCAGTTCTCACATAAATAACGAAGGCTTTTCACGATCCAATTCAAAATAGCAATAGTACGTAGAGTTATGTACCGCTTCACAGTGCTTTAAAGCCCTCTCAAAGCGGTTTACAGCGTCAGCCTATTGCCCCTAACAATCTGGTTCTCATGTTACCGACCTCAGAAGGATGGAAGGATGAGTCAACCTTGAGCCGGTGAGAATCGAACTGCTGGCAGTCGGGCAGAGTTAGCCTGCAATGCTGCATTCTAACCACTGCGCCACCGCTCCACTTATCAGTACCGTAATTTCAGTGCAGCCATTCTGACATTTGGCTATGAAACTATGCTACCGTGGCTGACAAAAGAGTTTCTTAATCAGTGCCAGAGTCAGTCTTAAGCCCACGATTCTATTCGTAGCATCCTTATCTACCCGAATCTGGTATTCTAAATCTCATTTATTGCTTTTTAATCTTGTTGCCAGAGTTTTCCGGCAAAGCAACATCCTCCTGGCTGCTGCTTATTTTCCATGGCCTCTTTAAACTTCCATTGCTTATGTGGGAATAAACTGCAAATGCCACCCGAGATAGAGAGAGTTTTGCTTCCTTTGATGTTTCTAATCTTACTTTATACTTTTTTCGTGTTTACACATGTTTGTGTTTTTTTTTCCAGGAAGGATGTGAGATGGCTGGCTGTGTCGACAATGACAAAAAAAATGTCAAGGTTTGTGCATTCTACAAACATGATTTGGAAAAGGTACTTCTGATTCACACAAGCACAGAGTCTCTATGCTTGTGATGGGATTCAGCCGGTTCGGGCGAGTTTGGGCGAACCGGTAGTTATATGGCTCGCTGGTTCCACCCCTTCCTGCCCCGCCCCTTCCAGGAGTCCCCAGGGGCCCAATTTTGCTCCCAGATAAGTGCAGGGAGGCCTCCTAGGCCCAGAATGGGGTACAGGGATGTTTGTGGGCCCCCTCATGGCCCGTTTTCGTTCCCAGAAGGCTTCAGGGAGGCATCTTAGGCCCAAAACAGGCCACGGGGGGAGGGGAGGGCAGCGCCCCCCCCGCATCCCATTTTTGCTCCCAGGGGGTGCAGGAGGCTGATTGCTGTCTGTCACACCCCCTGGCCATGCCCAACATGGCCACGCCCACCCACTCATTAGGGCAGAGAACCAGCCTCCTGCACCACAGTGGGGGGGCATTTTTGCCCTCCCCAAGCTCCAGAGGCTTTCCTTGAGCCTCCAGGAAGGTAAAAATGGCATCCCTGGGCTCCGGAGGCGAGCCTGTTTCCAGACTTCCGGAACTTCTGGGAGGCCTGTTTTTTGCTCTCCCCAGACTCCAGAGGCTTTCCTCGAGCCTCTGGGAGGACGAAACCGGCCTCCCCCAGGCTCTGGAGGCCCTCCAGAAGCAGGAAACAGGCCCATTTCCAGACTTCCAAAACTTCCAGGAGGCCCGTTTTTTGCCCTCCCAGAGCCTCCGTGTGGGCACTGCACTTACCTGGCATCCAAAACGAGCCGCATGGAGACTCCTGGGAGGGGTGGGGTGGGCAGGGCCAGCCAGTCCTTGCAACTACTTGTTCTGTCCCCAACCCCACGCACACACACCAACAGACGTTCAAGAGTTAAAGATCAAACCTGCCGGCAAAATCCTTTTCCTTATGATAACGGAACTTGGCAACAACCTAGTGGCTGCCTGCCAAGAGTTTATTATTTACAAAGAGGAGAGATAACTTCTCCCCACTTCTGATACATCAAAAGAAACAGCTCAATAATTACGGAGTCAATCAAATCCAGAGATAATCCAGCAAAGTCTATAGCAAAAGTCCGGCAATGCAGAATGGCGTGGAAGCTTTCAGCTTTGTTCGTCACAAGGTTTGACTGGCCACCACGCTCCCTTTTATACCTTGTGGGGTATGGTCCAGTGACTCAGCCTAATCTCGGGCACGCCTTTTCTTCTATTGCGCGCGCTTATCTCTGCGATGCTGGCGTGGATCCAGCCAAGACTCATTACCCTCATCACTGTCCATCTGTGGCTGCGTGGACGTGCTTGGCCCCAGCCCTATCTCTTGCCCTTCGGTGGACACCGAAGGCATTGCCAGAGAGGAGGGTCCTGGAGAGGGAGGCCTTGCCAACTCCTCTCCTTCACTCTTGGAGTCCTCTCCTGCCGATGACACAGGCTCAGGTAACGGAGCCACAACACTACTGGTTCGGCGAACCAGATGTAAAATTCTAACTGCTGAATTCCAACCCCTATATCAGGCCTTGTCTGGGGCCCTGTAGTTTGCCGAGTCCCTAAAATAAACCATCAGGTTTCTTCGAATTTTGATTCTCATTTTTCATCATCCTTTTTGGTTTATGCTCCTCATTCACGTATTCTTATCACTTGTGTTTTTTAAAAAAGAAAGAAAAGAAATTGTACAGTTCCAATGAAATAAGTGTGATGTCTCAGTGATTCTAGAAGACCAGTTACAGGGAAGAAAAATGATGACAAAGAGTGCTCATTCTTAACTCATTCTTGTTTTCACTGGGATCTTCTCAGCTCAGTCTGTCCATCCCAGTGGATTTAGACTAGCTTCCCTGGGAAATGATCACTGGCTTGTTGGTTTGAAATATTCATTACCTAATTATTATCTGAAAGATCTCATAGTAGTTCCATAACATGGCAGGAAAAGCCTTCATAAAGATGGCTTCTGGAATTCTTTTCAAAACCTTTACCAGCAGGGGCCATAGAAGCTATATGCATTTTTTTCTAGATCATAAAGTAATCTACTGATTCTTTACAAATATATGGGTACTTTCCTTCCTAGGGACAAATCAGGATGCACACCTGTGTATTGTCTCGATGCGTTTGTGTGCGAAGGTCTCATTGGGATAATGTGAGCCATATGGGTTGCTTGTGTACATCAGTTTTTGGTTTTTCTTCATGTTGCATCTGTGTGCATTAGTGTGTTAGTATGCACCAAGAAGCACAGAAAAGGCTGCATGTGCTCCCTTCTGGGTGATCGGGAAGTATGTTGAATGGGACTTCTACTGGCCAAAGGAATGTATTGAGGTAACTTTAGATGAATAGAATAGAATAGAATAGAATAGAATAGAATAGAATAGAATAGAATAGAATAGAATAGAATAGGATATAGGATATAGGATATAGGATATAGGATATAGGATAGGATAGGATAGGATAGGATAGGATAGGATAGGATAGGATAGAATAGAATAGAATAGAATAGAATAGAATAGAATAGAATAGAATTTTTATTGGTCAAGTATGATTGGACACACAAGGAATTTGTCTTGGTGCATATGCTCTCAATGTAACTAAAAAAAAGGATACGTTCATCATGAATGATAAGGTACAACACTTAATGATAGTCATAGGTTACAAATAAGGAATCAGGAAACAATATCAATATAAATCTTAAGGATACCAGCAACAAGATTACAGTCTTAAGTGAGAGGAGATGGGTGATGGGAAC